ATAATAATAATAATAATAAAAAATATAATAATAAAAAATAATAATAATAATAATAATAATAATAATAAATAATAATAATAATAATAATAATAATAATAATAATAATAATAATAATAATAATAATAATAATAATAATAATAATAATAATAATAATAATAATAATAATAATAATAATAATAATAATAATAATAATAATAATAATAATAATAATAATAATAATAATAATAATAATAATAATAATAATAATAATAATAATAATAATAATAATAATAATAATAATAATAATAATAATAATAATAATAATAATAATATACAATGCAATAATAAGATGATTTAACAATTAATATGAATGTTAATATTGCATATAACAAATAACAATAATAATATAATATATAATAATAATAATATGTAATAATTTGTTGTATATAATAACATCTCACAGTTATGACTTTTCCATATTTAATATACTTTTTTGCTCCAAAAATTTTTAAAAAATTTAATTTTCCTTTTTTGCTTTTTGGAGATAGTTTGTAATATAACAAAAGAAAAAGAAATTTTTTTCTTCTATAAGCTCAGTAAATAATAATGCATACGTTTATCAATTTTGGTTTTGACGTAAGAGAACAAATTGAAGTACATATGATGAAAATAAATCTTGTCATTTCCTCGAAATTAAAATTTAGATTCTTATAAAAAAGCCATATTTGAAATAAAAATCCTGAAAACAATGACTTTCAATTATCTCTGTCTGTTTCTCTCTTTCACTTTCCCTTTTTCCTTTTTATTTCAAGTGGTACTTTATTCTAATTGAATTGGCAATGGTGCAATGTTGTTTTGTTAAGTTGCTAAAAAGTAAGTCAAGAAAAGGTAATCAATATACGATTTTAAGTTAACATTAGACAAACTTTGAGGAATATGATATGATTAAAGTTATTCATTTTTATTATTCTTTTTAAATTTAAGTGTAAAAAAAATTTCACTTCATTTCGCTAAATTCTTTCTTCTGGTCTGCTCTCTCTTTTTTATATTTGTTTTTCACTTGTTTGTTTGTCTGTTTTTTTTTGAAATGAAACATAATAAACTTCAATGATTTCTGAAATGCGCACCTCTTTTGATTTTTTTTTTCTTTTTTGTTTTTGTTTTTCATTCGTGACATTGAAAATTTTGAAAATACCAATGGCAAAAATGCAAATAACATTCATTTTTTTTTCCACCAAAAACTGGATGTTTTGGGTTTTTTTTTTCTTCCATCAAATTTTACACTTTATCATTTTGTAAGAAGCTTTGAAATAAAAGAAAATGGAAGAATAAAAATGAGCAAAATAAAATTTACAATTAAAAGAAAAGGAAAAAAGCAAACAGTGAAAAAAGTAAACGAAGAAAAACAAAAAATTTTATTTTTTAAATAAAAAACAAGATACAATTTTTTGAGAAAAAATTTTTGAATACATTATTGGTAAAGTAATATGTGAAGTGAAAAAAAAAAAATGGAAAGAAAGTATTGTGGTATAAATTAACTTAAAATGCAAATTATAGGAAAACAAACAACGATTGTATCGTAAATTGAATTAAATAAGAATCATATTTTTTTTCGCAAATTAAATAAAATTTAATAAAAAGTAACGCAAAGTCTTTGTTTTGAAATTAAATGAAATTGAAAGAAAAAAGAGTCAAAGAATAAATTTTTTTAGAAAAAAAAAAAATAAACAGAAAATAGCGTAGAACAAACAAAACGTAAATAAATTGAGAAATTTACATGATGTAAATTCACAGTTAAATGCATATTTTTTTTTTGTCACCTATTGTTAAAAAAACCATATAGTTTGTTTAGTTATTTGCAGTTATTATTCCAAAGATATTTACTCTCTTCTCTCTCTCTATCTCTCTCTTCTCTCTCTCTCTCCATCTCTTTCATTTCTTTCTTTTGAAATTTTGTTTAAACATGCATTTTGATAAAATGGTACGCTCATTGGGTGGCAAAATGTAAAGAAAAAAGGAAAAGAAGAAAAAATTCAAACTTATATATGGTTGTTATCACATACATTCATTAGTGTTTCTCATCTATCACATTTATCACAATGTTTTTTTATTTATAAAATTTATCACAGTATTATCACAGCATTTATTGCAGTATCAACACAACACTTATCATAATATCACTACAAGATATTTCAGGCAAATATTAAATTGGATTGAAATATCTCATACATTGTCACCTCTCAATCGTTTGCCCGTGTTTTCCTTTCCCGCGCTGTTTACCTTCCCTAATTTTAGGCCTTCCCTGCTCTTATCTTCTTATCCCTCACATTTACAACAATTTCCACTTCCCTCCCTATTTCTCGTCCATATTTATTTCCTCAAAATTTCATCCACTTTTACCGCCCTTTCCCTCTACCGCGCTATTAATTCCTCATAATTTCTCCATTTCCGCCCCCTTCTATATGCCTTAACGACTTTTCCCTCTTCTTTCCTTTCTCCCTTCTTTTCCCCACCTTTTTACCCACCCGTCAATTAATTCCCTCAAACATGAATGAATTTTTTCTTTTTTCCCCGCCTCTCTTCTTCCCTGTCTATTTATACCCATCAAACTTAGTAACTTTCCCTTCTTTCATCCTTTCCCTCTCGCTTAGATGATAGCAAAGAAAAATATAAGAGTAAATTTGATTATGAAATATCTTTTCAATGCATTTAGTCATTTAATTAATCTAATCATCTGATATTATCAATCATTAAATTTTACCCATCAATTAATTGATTAATTGGTTAATTAATCAATTAATTAACTAATTGATTATTCAGTTAGCTCATTTCCTTCAACCCATTCTTAACATTAGTTCATAATTTCATCAGTGTCAACAAAACTTGTCACCCTTTCTCGTCTCCTCATCATATGATGCAAAAATAGAACGTGAAGCATAACATTTGCTTCCCTTTTTTTCCTTTTCTTTTTTTTTTTCCTCCCTGTTTTATGTTATGGAGAAATGATGGAAATCAATAAAATATGATACTGTATGCTAATATTTATATAGCTATAATAATTACTTTAATTTATTTAATTTAAATTTTGTTCGCTCATTCTTCAATTTTTGTTAACAAAAAAAAAAAAAAAAATCTCATACCTTTTTTAATTTTAATTACTTATTTCCAATTATTTTAAATTTTCATTAAATTTTCATATTTAATTAATTTTAGGAGAAATAATCTAATTTATTGGTTAATTCAGTTTAGAAAAAGCGTAAAAAATTTTTAGTGATAAAATAATTTAACCAAAAATTTTTTCAAATTAAAAATAATCCCTGATTTTATACCATAATTTAAATTAAAATAAAATGCTTTAATATACATTTCGAAATATGCATACATATAAACATCTGAAATAAATGTAAAAGAAAAACGAAGAAATAAATTTAATTTCAATATTTTTGCATTTTTCTTCCTTTCTGGCACTCTCTCTCTCTTCCACCCTCTCTCTCTCTCTCTCTCTCTCTGTGTATAGAAGTCTAATGAATGCCAGATATCACATACTGAAGGCCCAGAATTAGCTATACTTTCGAGATAAATTACTTTTTTTGCTTTCACTATCTTTGATCTATTCCAACATATTCGTATCTTTTTTCCCTTTTTAGTCTCACCTATACTATTTATGCCATCCTTTATTATCTGACATTCATCTTCTATTCCTTTCTTTTTCTTTTTTTTTTTTTGTTCTATCTAAATTATTCTCTTTTTTATTTTAGGTAATTATTTCATCCAAATTTTTGCTCAAAAATTTGGCTAAGCTTTAATCGTTGATTTCGAAATTATTTATTATTTAAAAATCAAAAATAAAATTTGTTGGGAAAAAAGAGAGAGGGAGAGGAGAGAAAAGACGACAGAGAAAGAGAGATAGAGAGAGAGAGAGACAGAAGGGAGGGAAAGCTTTATCAGTTGCATTTAATTTTTTTTTTCTTAATCTTTTTCATTTTATTAATTGAAATTTAATCCTATGCAATTCCATGTCACACAAAAAAAAAAAATTTGCGATTCCTTTTTCATTTAATTCTCTCCTTTCTCCTCTTTCTCTGTCTCTCATTCCTTTTTCATTTAATTCTCTCCTTTCTCCTCTTTCTCTGTCTCTCATTCCTTTTTCATTTAATTCTCTCTTTTCTCCTCTTTCTCTGTCTCTCTCTCTGTGACTTTTTTTTGGTTAATTTATGGATTTCACTGTAATAATTAGTATTCATTGTATAAATAAATTGGCATTACAAATTATACTTATATCATTGATCTTTCATAAGTTTCATTCGAAGAAATGGAAGCAAAATGCTCAAATTTGTTGAATTTTAATTAATTTTTTTGCAACTTTTTCTTTCCGCTTTACGTCGATTAATTATTTTCTTTAAAAACTTAAAACAAAATAAAGTTACAAAATAAAAAGTTATGGAAAAAAATTGTGAAAATAAAAATATTACAAATGCTAAAAAACAAAATTATAAATATATGTGACATATCGTTTAAATATTTAAAGTACTGTAATGTTTACTTCTATTTTCACAATTACTAATTGTTACTAATGAGATATATTTAAGGCATTTATTGTTTTATATATGTCTGATTAGTAGTAAATTTTTTTTTGCTATTTTCAGTTCAAATTTTGTATAACTTTGAGAATTTTTATTTAAACTTTATTTGATTCTCATTTTCTATTCGGTAATGCATATAATATCTTTTTGTCTCCATTGCTGTATTTTCGAAGTTATAAAAGGACGAAGTTTCAGTGCTGTTGAAATTTATAATTAGTTAAATGAAGGTAAAAGTAATTACCAGGCGCTCACTTATTAGCAGCTACATTAATTCCAATTTAAATGCTAAAACCGATTTAAATTCTTACGAAAATACAGCTTTCACATTATGAAGTCACAGAAAACGTCCGTTTTATGCTGTTTACTACAAATTACTATTAGAATTAATTAGTGCTATTGTTTCAGCTACTGCATTGGTGGTTTTCAACTCTCATAAGTATGACAGCTGAGGTTCAAGCAACAGGTAAATTGGTTTATTACTCATTTCCACTGCAATTAAATCAGTTAAAAATTTTAAATTTTTTGAATTTAGTGTCTATTTTTTATTTCATAGATTTCATATTGCATCTGTAAAAGCAAATTTAGAATTTCTTTCTTACTGCCCTTGTGAAACAAAGTAGTTTTCCTTTCTTGATAGTTCAGATCGTTGACTTCTTTGTCTTCGATACGGGTAGAATCTCGAATTTGTACTAATTCCATTCTGTGTACGTGTACTGTGGGAGTCTTCGTGAAATACTTTATTATTCAAACCCCAAATTTGGGTAATTAAACCACAGATAACATTAAATATTATACAACATTACAATAATGAATTGATATCTAACACACAAATGTAACTTAATTATAAAATATTTAAAGATACAAGCAAAAGGAAGAAATTGGGAGGGATTTTATGGGTGTTAAGGTTACAAAGTGGATTAAAATCATTTAAAACCAATAGTCTTTGTTCATTAGGTTATAGCTTTGCCATTGTGGCGACAGCATCATTTAACCCTTCGGCATATGCAAATCTCAATGTGATCCAACTTTTATGAAGTGTTGATCAACAAATATGGCTGAGTTAATTAAATTAGACTTTTAAGGTTTTAATATTCACTTTACTTAATGGCTTAAACGGTACTATTTGAATATCTTAGTATTTAATCAAATTTCTCATTCTTTGGTAAAATAACCCGATGGATCCTATTATATTAGTGATAAGCAAACCCATGAAATATGTGGTATTGATAAGTCGGTTATTCCCACACGTTCACTACTGCACAGTAATTAGCCTAATGAGCCTAGCAACTGTGAATCTGTGATGACTTGCGACTCTTAAGATAACATTGAAATATCAATAAGCAAAATGATAAGTGATGGAAATAAGTAACTAATCGTAATTTCAAATTCCTCATCGCTTACCTTAAGTGTAACAATAATTATTGTTGTAAAAGTTACTAAAAGTTTTTAATTTAATTAATATATATGTACCATAATTCATTTGTCATTTCAGCCCTTTTGGGTTCCGCACGGTTAAACCTTGCATTAGTTGGATTTTTGGGTTGCGTTGTCATTTATGCTTTACGTACCGATGTTAGTGTTGCAATTGTTTGCATGGTGAACAGCACAGCGGTGGACATGATAACTGGTGCTGGTGATATTAATGTAACCAAGAAAGCTACTGCTACATGTTCAGTACAAAGTGAAACTAAATCAACCGAAAAGGATACGGTATATTTGTCATTTCATTTAAAATATTACATTTCTAATCAGTGTTAGAAGTAACACTACTGTTTTACTGTTTTAATTAAAGTAATTTATAATTGCTAAAAGCATTAAGAAAATTTTGAAAGTTTATTAGCAAGAGTGGAATGGTAATAAATCATCATAAAAATTAAAAATTTTTAAATTTTATTTTATGAAGTGATCTCTATTGATAATATTTATTACATTAAGAAAAGATATGTAAAATAATTGTATCTAATTATTTAGTTAATAATGAATTTCAGGTTATGGGTGAATTAGTTTGGAAGAAAGATGAGCAAGGATATGTATTGAGTGCCTTCTTTTGGGGCTATATTTGCAGCCAAATCATTGGCGGTTATTTAGCCGGTCGATATGGCGGTCGTTTGGTGATTGGTATTACGGTTCTGGGAAGTGCAATTCTTACTTTGATCAGTCCATTAGCAGCAACAACTAGCGTTTTTGCATTCATCGTTGCGCGAGCTCTTATGGGTTTTATGCAGGTACCAATAATTTATTGTCCTTCAACTTCAAATTTCCAAGTTTCTCGATTAATTTTCCAGTCATGAATATAATGTTTCGTTATATTTTCAATTTGCAGGGTGCCATATTTCCTGCGTTTCACACTATGTGGTCAGTATGGGCGCCACCTTTGGAAAGAAGTTTATTGACCGGTTTGACATATGCAGGTTCGCTTACATTTCTTCCTTTTCTCGCAAATAAAAATCTGATGCAATTTCAGCTCTAAAATTTAATTTCTACTTTATTTCAAAAGTTCTTTCAGATTGGACGATGCATTTGACTAATTTTTGATCAAAATAAATCTTCTTACAGGTGCTCAAATAGGTAATACAGCTGTCATGCCACTGTCTGGTTTACTTTGCAAATATGGATTTGCTGGTGGTTGGCCATCCATCTTTTACGTTATCGGTAAATTTGTAAAATTTTTTGTGTTTCTGAATTTCTTGAGATTCATCTAATTACAAATAATTCATATTTTAAACAATTTTATTAAAGACACTTTTTAAAGGTACTTTTTTAGGTACGGTCGCTGTTTTATGGTGTCTTCTTTGGTTCTTCTTTGTTTCTGATCGACCATCCCAAAGTAAACGTATTTCTAAAAAGGAGCTAAACTATATCGAAAATTCATTAGCTGATATATTAGCATCGGATTCGAAAAAAGTAATAATTTTTCGGGATTTTTTCTCAGATTAATTGTTTATAAACTCGATTATCATTCATTAGTTAGATAATGAAAAACATCAATATTTGTGGGCTACTAAAAGATCTTATCTAGCACAGCAATTATGCAATCATAAAAAGTGACCGTTTGGTGCTATTTTGTAGTCATTTTCAGGTGTTAAAATTCTAATCCAATTCTTTTTTAAATTCCAAATTTAAAAAATTTTTTTGATTTCAGAAAAGAGCTGTTCCATGGCTTGCAATATTCAAATCGGTACCAGTTTGGGCATTGTTCTGTGGTCATTTTGCAGGTGATTGGGGTGCTTACATCATGGCGACTAGTCTTCCGCTCTTTATGAATGATGTTTTGGGATTAGATTTCGCTTCGGTTTGCTAATTTTTAATCATTCCATAAAATAGATTCACTGTTAATCTGATAAAACTGAACGTTAAAAAATGAGAAGTTTTTAATAAAAAATTTATGATATCCCTATGCTTTAGCTTGGATTTTTGACAGCAATTCCGTACATTGCATATTTTGTATTTATTAATTTGGGCGGTTTTATCGCAGATAAGTTGCAAAATGCGAATATTTTATCAACTATATCTACTCGACGCCTTGCTATGATTGTTGGTAGGTTTCATTGAAATTTATAATAATATACCAGCATCATATTTAGGTCTGTTGTAAATAGTAATCTCTTTTATCCTACCGCTAATCTCTTCCACATATTTAATGTGTTTAGTAGTTGGACTGCTTCAACAAAATCATTCATATATTGTGAGATGACTCTACAATTTAGTGTATAATGTTACTTAATCTTTTAACTTAGTTGTTTATCAGATTTAGCTTACAGCCGTGTTACGTGGGTACTTAATAAATAATAAGCTTGGAAATATAATAAAAAATATGAATGAAAAAAGAGAAAGAATGAGGGATGAGATTAGTGAATATTTGCTAATTCATTACTACTGAAATTACAGCACTTGGAAGTCAAGCTATATTTCTGATAGCTAGTGGTCATTGTGGTTGTGGTCAAGAAACACTAGTGATTATATTCCTTACACTTGGCATTGGTTTGTCTGGCGTACAGTACGCTGGTTTTGTGGTCAATTATCTTGATATTGCACCAACATTTGCTGGACCTCTGCTAGGTATTGGCAATACGATAACATGTATTGCTGGAATCATAGGTCCACTTATGGTTGGTAAACTTACTCCCACGGTAATCTTTATTCACTTTTATGGTTTATTTATTTTACTTTTAGTTTACCAAACTTTTATTTCTTTAATTTGAATCCTAACAACTTTTGCAAACTTTACTTCTTATTAAACTAAACGAAAAAAAAAAAGGTTGTTTGTTTATTTAAACAGTTAGATTTAAAAAAAATGATCGCATCACTGTCTTTTATTTGTTTTTGGTTTCGGTTGCGACGACTTTTCAAAAACAAATTTTCTTAAAAATACTGTTTATCTTTGCTTTATTTTAGGGTTCACAACAAGAATGGCAATTAGTTTTTTGGATTACCGGTGGAGTCTTATTGGCCGGTACTACCATTTTCTGTTTATTTGCCAAAGGTGAAGTGCAGCCTTGGGCATTGAGCGATATTGACAAAGAAGAAAATTGTGAACTGGAAAAAAAGACACTTAATAGCTCGGAGAGCTCACCGTGATTAGTAAAAATTTATATTAGATAATTTTTCTTTTGAAGGCTAAACTTAAATATTTTTGTGTATTTTGGAAGCGATCAGTTCGAGAAATCTTTTATTCCCATTCGTAATTACGAGCGCAATAGACCGTTAATTGTTGATGTTAATTTTGTAAAGAAACATTTTTGGGATATACACAGTGTCATTAGTATTACATAATTTAACAATTTCCATTTCACAACTAATATTTCCATTTCGTTTTTTAAATTGACTTCTTCTAAAAGATTTTATTTGTTGACAGTAAATTTTAATTAGTTTTTAATAGTTTTGTTGATTTTTTTCATGAATTGTAGTATTGTTTCGGAATAACGTTGTGTGGTTCATGAAATCGGATTCTGTTCATTTTTTTGTTTGATAAGTTCACTTTCAATGTATGCTTATTAATACGAAAATTTAAACATATGTTCAAAGTAAGCTTACTCTACAGACATTAATCTCAAAAAGTATACGTTAGCAAAATTTATCGCTCTAATTAAGGCTATCCATTTTTTCACAGTTTAATGGTTCGTAAAAAAAGTTTTCATCAAAAATAATTATTCCCAAATCATTAACATCAAATTGGTAAATATCGTCGTTGCTGCCGCTGATTTATTGCGGAAACAGATAAACGTCGGAATATTTATTCTCCAATCAATGAGGTAATAATACTATGAGGAGGAAAATATCGTCTTTGTTAATTATTCGTCATGAAAATTACTATAATCATACTGGACACTCTTCTTGATCGGACCTCGAAATCTTTCCGGAGCCAGGAATTTCATTTCTCCATCCGCTTTTGCACTTGCCTGAAATGTTGATTTCAAATCGATCGTCCTGATGTTCTTTAGATAAATTTTATTAGAAACGAGTAAAATTTGGAAATAAAATCGGAACTTATTCGCTTTGTTCCGGAATTCTTTGAATGAGAAACAAATTTTGCACAATAATAAATCGGTCATGAAAGTGAAAAAAAAAAAAGGTAGATTAACTTACCTGCAGCACAGGTATACATGCTAGGGCGATTGTTTCAGTTTGTTCCGAGTATGTTTGACATAGTTCGTCAAATTTTAGCACACGAATTTGATAACGAAGCGGTTCACACTCGAAGATTCGCTTGCCGATTAATTTGGGTGGCGGATGAGCGCACATGCAGCGTACTTCCGCCAGAGCTGCCGGAACTCTCTTAAAACATTAAATGTACTACTACTACTACTACTACTACTATCTTAGAATAGCACTGTACATAAAGTGCTGGAATGATAGATCATTTTCCTGTAATTGCTCTGCCCTGAATGTTTCGATTTAGTAGGTAACGGACCAATGGCGTTATTCCTTCAAAATATTTCAAAACATTCAAAGAAATTATTTGTGATTGCATTTTCTGAAGCGTTCTTTGTTGATCGATTGAATGTAAAAAATATATTTTACTTGTGCCATTTTGTGAGTTATTTATTTGTTTGAAATTGAATTGCAAATGGAAATCTATCATAGAGAGACGAATCAGAAATCCGGTACTCCGGAATTCATTGATCATTCCTAAATTTGCCCCGCCCCTTCAGTATGAGATATAATTGTGATGGAAGGAAGTATTGATTACTCGTGATAGATGATAATTATCAGAGTATTGGAACTAAGCTGATAAATAATTCCGTTATCAATCATTTTGACAAAAAGATTTTTTAATTGATAACAAGTTTTATTCAACTGATTGTTTTTCTGGGTTTCATCACATTTCGAGCTGTTTGTCACTGTAAAAAGGTTGTCAGCAGATTTCGTCAAAGAATAAAAGTTGAAATAACAATTTGAATTTCAATTTTTTCCTTTCGCATTTTTCTGCTCATTCGTTCACATTGCAACAGTGCAATTCCTGGCACCGAAGCAATTTATCATTTTTTTGCTTCGTTTTGTTTTTCAGTGTAAAAATCAATTAAAATTGGCACAAAAGGATATGATTGATCGTAAATTGACAAGAAATTCAGGCATTTCAAGCTTCAGTCATGCAAACCGGAATTTAGAGATATCTTCAACAGTCTTCCGAAGAAACGTTCCTGATGTAAATCTTAAGGTTCGCATTGCAGTCCGTCTTCCGTATAAAAAGATGAAAATGACGTACCAGCGGATTATAATTCAGAAAATATTCAAAATAACACAATGCGCGTTCTCTCAGCGGTGCTTCCGGTGTTATTGCTGGGAGTTCCGGGGTTTCGCAGTCAGCGACTCCATGGCTTACTTGTTCTCCGTCCTTCAGTGCATTTAACTAAAGTAAAGGATGCGTAAAGAACAATGGTAAAATCCCCACAAATATTCAAAGAAATTTATGAGATTAGAGAAGAGCTTACGACGAACTGAACTTTTAAGTTCCGCGGTGCTTTTTTATTCCGCCTGCAGAATTAAGGCAGCATTTTTCTTCTGGCATAAGCATAAGCAAAATTTGTGAGATTTGGAAAAATTTTTTTTTTTTTTTTGTAATATTTATTCCTGAATAAATTGAAAGTTACAAAAGGTGGAGTCGAAGAAATTACATACATTCAACTCAGTTTCAGTTTTCAAAATTCTTTCTCTGTTTACCTTTTTTTTTTATTTCCAATAATTCGAAAAAGGTAAACGGAATTGAATTATCTCTCTGTATCTCTTTCCAGTGTAATATATTCTTTTGTGGAATATTACTCCTTTATCAATCATGAAGTGATAAGCATTATGAATCTGAGATTCCCTATTCCCTATATTTGCTACTTTGAATGAAACACTGACAGTCTTCCATTGAAATTGATAATTTATTCCAATTGAAATGGTTCAGGTAAATTAATTGTTGATTTACCACATAGAACACCTTTGTCACAGTTCCCATTTGAATGTGTGATAAATCGATGTCAAAGTTAAATTTTGGGGAAGGAAAAGTTGCAACAGAGTAGCAAGAACTGAAATAATGCACGAAATAAATGCCCGCGGGATTCCTTCAAAAGTAAGTAATTTACTCTGACCTGTAAATTCAGTAACGATTGCTGATAAATGGGCGCAATGGGCGTATAATGCGAGGCGTTCTTTCTGTGCAACCATTCCGCGAAACTCTGGTGATGATCTCTTTTGATGTAGCGGTAGAAACATTCTGAATTCCTTCCTGATTCCAACAATGTCTTAGCGACGTATTGTCCGTTACTGAAAATGCGACAGCAAATGAAAATGATTTGTCTAAATTTAAGATATTTCGAGATAGTTTAAAATTTGTTTGCACTTTTTTGGAAAGAAGTAGTGATGATATGAGATCGATGAATAATATTTACCCTATTAATATTTATTCTGCAATTTCTCATTTTTTTTAAACCTACTATCAGGCCATAGTACTAGAATGAATATTGAGGTAGGACTTACGCGTAAAATTAGTAAAATTAAAAATTTAAATTAGTAAATATTTTCACTTGAAATAATAGCATTACGTCCAAGTTATAGACTTAACATTTGGTTGTTTATTTAACTGAATTTGAATAAATTTTATTAAATCAAACTTTTTTAATCGAACATCAATTCAAATTAATTTACCGAATGAATTTGTCACTTTTATGAAACATATTGTTTAAATGCAATATTTTCACTTATGATTTCTCTTCTCCCAAATAGCCCTTTCAATTCATTTTCTGCTTAATCCAAATTTGTTTCAGTGTGGAAAAGATTGGAATTCTTCACAAACGTTAAAAAATTAAGGCTTTTGGTTTAACGTTAATGTTCGGTTTAAAATTTGTTCTTTGTATCTGTCTGTAGCCATTAATTATATTCTCTAGATAATGATTCAAAATTTTAGTTTTAAACAGTGTTGTTATATTTTAAATAGTTTCTTCATTTTATTAAGTGAATTTTTTCTTCTTTCTTCCTTCTGTCTTCCTTTGTCTAACTCCTTCTCTCCCTTTTATCATTAAAAAGAAAAATAACAAATTTATTGCAAATGACTAATTACATATTTAAAGTACTGTAATGTTTACTTCTATTTTCACAATTACTAATTGTTACTAATGAGATATATTTAAGGCATTTATTGTTTTATATATGTCTGATTAGTAGTAAATTTTTTTTTGCTATTTTCAGTTCAAATTTTGTATAACTTTGAGAATTTTTATTTAAACTTTATTTGATTCTCATTTTCTATTCGGTAATGCATATAATATCTTTTTGTCTCCATTGCTGTATTTTCGAAGTTATAAAAGGACGAAGTTTCAGTGCTGTTGAAATTTATAATTAGTTAAATGAAGGTAAAAGTAATTACCAGGCGCTCACTTATTAGCAGCTACATTAATTCCAATTTAAATGCTAAAACCGATTTAAATTCTTACGAAAATACAGCTTTCACATTATGAAGTCACAGAAAACGTCCGTTTTATGCTGTTTACTACAAATTACTATTAGAATTAATTAGTGCTATTGTTTCAGCTACTGCATTGGTGGTTTTCAACTCTCATAAGTATGACAGCTGAGGTTCAAGCAACAGGTAAATTGGTTTATTACTCATTTCCACTGCAATTAAATCAGTTAAAAATTTTAAATTTTTTGAATTTAGTGTCTATTTTTTATTTCATAGATTTCATATTGCATCTGTAAAAGCAAATTTAGAATTTCTTTCTTACTGCCCTTGTGAAACAAAGTAGTTTTCCTTTCTTGATAGTTCAGATCGTTGACTTCTTTGTCTTCGATACGGGTAGAATCTCGAATTTGTACTAATTCCATTCTGTGTACGTGTACTGTGGGAGTCTTCGTGAAATACTTTATTATTCAAACCCCAAATTTGGGTAATTAAACCACAGATAACATTAAATATTATACAACATTACAATAATGAATTGATATCTAACACACAAATGTAACTTAATTATAAAATATTTAAAGATACAAGCAAAAGGAAGAAATTGGGAGGGATTTTATGGGTGTTAAGGTTACAAAGTGGATTAAAATCATTTAAAACCAATAGTCTTTGTTCATTAGGTTATAGCTTTGCCATT